GCTACAGTAACAAACAGTGACGGCTACAATAACAAACAGTGACGGCTACAGTAACAAGCAGTGACGGCTACAGTAACAAACAGTGACGGCTACAGTAACAAACAGTGACGGCTACAGTAACAAACAGTGATGGCTACAGTAACAAGCAGTGACGGATACAGTAACAAGCAGTGACGGCTACAACAGAAACAAGCAGTGACGGCTACAGTAACAAGCAGTGACGGCTACAACAGTAACAAGCAGTGACGGCTACAGTAACAAGCAGTGACGGCTACAACAGTAACAAACAGTGATGGCTACAGTAACAAGCAGTGACGGATACAGTAACAAGCAGTGACGGCTACAACAGTAACAAGCAGTGACGGCTACAGTAACAAGCAGTGACGGCTACAGTAACATTGACGGCTACAGTAACAAACAATGACGGCTACAGTGACAAACAGTGACGGCTACAGTAACAAGCAGTGACGGCTACAGTAACAAACAGTGACGGCTACAGTAACAAACAGTGACGGCTACAGTAACAAACAGTGACGGCTACAGTAACAAACAGTGACGGCACAGTAACAAGCAGTGACGGATAAAGTAACAAAGAGTGACGGCTACAGTAACAAGCAGTGACGGATACAGTAACAAGGAGTTGCGGATACAGTAACAAGCAGTGACGGATACAGTAACAAACAGTGACGGCTACAGTAACAAACAGTGGCGGCTACAGTAACAAACAGTGACGGCTACAGTAACAAACAGTGACGGCTACAGTAACAAACAGTGACGGCTACAGTAACAAACAGTGACGGCTACAGTAACAAGCAGTGGCGGATACAGTAACAAGCAGTGACGGATACAGTAACAAGCAGTGACGGCTACAACAGTAACAAACAGTGACGGCTACAAGAGTAACAAACAGTGACGGCTACAGAAACAAGCAGTGACGGCTACAGAAACAAGCAGTGATGGCTACAGTAACAACAGTGGCGGCTACAGTAACAAGCAGTGACGGATACAGTAACACGCAGTGACGGATACAGTAACAAGCAGTGACGGCTACAACAGTAACAAACAGTGACGGCTACAGTAACAAAGAGTGATGGCTACAGTAACAAGCAGTGACCGCTACAGTAACAAACAGTGACGGCTACAATAGCAAGCAGTGACGGCTACAACAGTAACAAACAGTGACGGCTACAGTAACAAACAGTGACGGCTACAGTAACAAACAGTGACGGCTACAGTAACAAACAGTGACGGCTACAGTAACAAACAGTGACGGCTACAGTAACAAGCAGTGACGGCTACAGTAACAAGCAGTGACGGCTACAGTAACAAACAGTGACGGCTACAGTAACAAACAGTGACGGCTACAGTAACAAACAGTGACGGCTACAGTAACAAACAGTGACGGCTACAGTAACAAACAGTGACGGCTACAGTAACAAACAGTGACGGCTACAGTAACAAACAGTGACGGCTACAGTAACAAGCAGTGACGACTACAACAGTAACAAACAGAGACGGCTACAGTAACATGCAGTGACGGCTACAGTAACAAGCAGTGGCGGCTACAGTAACAAACAGTGACGGCTACTGTAACAAGCAGTGACGACTACAGTAACAAACAGTGACGGCTACAGTAACAAACAGTGACGGCTACAGTAACAAGCAGTGACGACTACAACAGTAACAAGCAGTGACGACTACAACAGTAACAAACAGTGACGGCTACAGTAACAAGCAGTGACGGCTACAGTAACAAACAGTGACGGCTACAGTAACAAACAGTGACGGCTACAGTAACAAACAGTGACGGCTACAGTAACAAACAGTGACGGCTACAGTAACAAACAGTGATGGCTACAGTAACAAGCAGTGACGGATACAGTAACAAGCAGTGACGGCTACAACAGAAACAAGCAGTGACGGCTACAGTAACAAGCAGTGACGGCTACAACAGTAACAAGCAGTGACGGCTACAGTAACAAACAGTGACGGCTACAACAGTAACAAACAGTGATGGCTACAGTAACAAGCAGTGACGGATACAGTAACAAGCAGTGACGGCTACAACAGTAACAAGCAGTGACGGCTACAGTAACAAGCAGTGACGGCTACAGTAACAGTGACGGCTACAGTAACAAACAATGACGGCTACAGTGACAAACAGTGACGGCTACAGTAACAAGCAGTGACGGCTACAGTAACAAACAGTGACGGCTACAGTAACAAACAGTGACGGCTACAGTAACAAACAGTGACGGCTACAGTAACAAACAGTGACGGCACAGTAACAAGCAGTGACGGATAAAGTAACAAAGAGTGACGGCTACAGTAACAAGCAGTGACGGATACAGTAACAAGGAGTTGCGGATACAGTAACAAGCAGTGACGGATACAGTAACAAACAGTGACGGCTACAGTAACAAACAGTGGCGGCTACAGTAACAAACAGTGACGGCTACAGTAACAAACAGTGACGGCTACAGTAACAAACAGTGACGGCTACAGTAACAAACAGTGACGGCTACAGTAACAAGCAGTGGCGGATACAGTACCAAGCAGTGACGGATACAGTAACAAGCAGTGACGGCTACAACAGTAACAAACAGTGACGGCTACAAGAGTAACAAACAGTGACGGCTACAGAAACAAGCAGTGACGGCTACAGAAACAAGCAGTGATGGCTACAGTAACAACAGTGGCGGCTACAGTAACAAGCAGTGACGGATACAGTAACACGCAGTGACGGATACAGTAACAAGCAGTGACGGCTACAACAGTAACAAACAGTGACGGCTACAGTAACAAAGAGTGATGGCTACAGTAACAAGCAGTGACCGCTACAGTAACAAACAGTGACGGCTACAATAGCAAGCAGTGACGGCTACAACAGTAACAAACAGTGACGGCTACAGTAACAAACAGTGACGGCTACAGTAACAAACAGTGACGGCTACAGTAACAAACAGTGACGGCTACAGTAACAAACAGTGACGGCTACAGTAACATGCAGTGACGGCTACAGTAACAAGCAGTGACGGCTACAGTAACAAACAGTGACGGCTACAGTAACAAACAGTGACGGCTACAGTAACAAACAGTGACGGCTACAGTAACAAACAGTGACGGCTACAGTAACAAACAGTGACGGCTACAGTAACAAACAGTGACGGCTACAGTAACAAACAGTGACGGCTACAGTAACAAGCAGTGACGACTACAACAGTAACAAACAGTGACGGCTACAGTAACATGCAGTGACGGCTACAGTAACAAGCAGTGGCGGCTACAGTAACAAACAGTGACGGCTACTGTAACAAGCAGTGACGACTACAGTAACAAACAGTGACGGCTACAGTAACAAACAGTGACGGCTACAGTAACAAGCAGTGACGACTACAACAGTAACAAGCAGTGACGACTACAACAGTAACAAACAGTGACGGCTACAGTAACAAGCAGTGACGGCTACAGTAACAAACAGTGACGGCTACAGTAACAAGCAGTGACGGCTACAGTAACAAACAGTGACAGCTACAGTAACAGACAGTGACGGCAACAGTAACAAAAAGTGACGGTTATAGTAACAAACAGTGACGGCTACAGTAACAAACAGTGACGGTTACAGTAACAAACAGTGACGGCTACAGTAACAAACAGTGACGGCAACAGTAACAAACAGTGACAGCTACAGTAACAAACAGTGACGGCTACAGTAACAAACAGTGACGGCTACAGTAACAAACAGTGACAGCTACAGTAACAAACAGTGACGGCTACTGTAACAAACAGTGACGGCTACAGTAACAAGCAGTGACGGCTACAGTAACAAACAGTGACGGCTACAGTAACATGCAGTGACGGCTACAGTAACAAACAGTGACGGCTACAACTGTAACAAGTAGTGACGGCTACAGTAACAAACAGTGACGGCTACAGTAACAAACAGTGACGGCTACAACTGTAACAAGTAGTGACGGCTACAGTAACAAACAGTGACGGCTACAGTAACAAACAGTGACGGCTACAGTAACAAACAGTGACGGCTACAGTAACAAACAGTGACGGCTACAGTAACAAACAGTGACGGCTACAGTAACAAGCAGTGGCGGATACAGTAACAAACAGTGACGGATACAGTAACAAGCAGTGACGGCTACAACAGTAACAAACAATGACGGCTACAACAGTAACAAACAGTGACGGTTACAGTAACAAGCAGTGACGGCTACAGTAACAAAGAGTGACGGCTACAGTAGCAAGCAGTGACGGCTACAACAGTAACAAACAGTGACGGCTACAGTAACAAACAGTGGAGGCTACAGTAACAAATAGTGACGGCTACATTAACAAACAGTGACGGCTACAACAGTAACAAACAGTGACGGCTACAGTAACATGCAGTGACGGCTACAGTAACAAGCAGTGACGGCTACAGTAACAAACAGTGACGGCTACAGTAACAAGCAGTGACGACTACAGTAACAAACAGTGACGGCTACAGTAACAAACAGTGACGGCTACAGTAACAAGCAGTGACGACTACAACAGTAACAAGCAGTGACGACTACAACAGTAACAAACAGTGACGGCTACAGTAACAAGCAGTGACGGCTACAGTAACAAACAGTGACGGCTACAGTAACAAACAGTGACGGCTACAGTAACAAGCAGTGACGGCTACAGTAACAAGCAGTGACGGCTCACCTCTAGGAGCCACTGAGTTGCATTCCCCCCCCCCCCCCCCCCCCAAACACTAACGCCTGGTATATGACTCTACAAACCTCACACGAGAATAATAAGCAACTAACAAATGTCTCATAACAAAAAATCCATGTGTTATTTCCAATATATTTATACACTAAAAAATGTTAACATTTTCATTAAATATGAGACAAAAATAGAGGTTTAATGCTGTACGATAGTTCCCCATTCTATGTTGCCACGAGCTGCTACTGGTAGCCAAGAGTTTAAAGATGTAACAAAACTTTTTAATTTTTCAGGTAAACATGTGGGAGCCTCAGAGATGCTGCTTTTGTTGCAACCTTGGGACTGGGAGCCTCATCTTGTGCAGCCTGGTCGTGGTAAGACATTTTAACAAAGCAGGGTCATTTGAGATACACACCGTTGCATATTTCAGTTAACAAAGTCACTATTGTAATTTCCATATGTGAGAGTAAGGTCATTGATGCCTTGTAATTTCTGCAGTTTGTTATTGAAAATTGTTGCATAATTGGTCAAGTCTAGTGTTCCATTAACCCAATGTCCTGTATTTTGTTGATTTGCCAATAGGCATATGCATTTATGCTGACAAGAAACACGGTTCATATCATGAGTTTATGGGACGTTTTTAAATTAACAACATTATTTACCCCCTAAGTATAGACTTGAACAACACGCTGTAGTATGATAGTTGGACAGTACTTGAATTTTTTGTATTTCCAGGTAGTAAGTCTTGTGGACTTGATATCCATGATCAAGGTATTCTTCAAAGGAGATGTGGAGAAAGAAATTAAAACAATGTGCGAGGATATATTCTCATACGAATCTGACTGCCAAGGCCATGTACAAGCCATTAGTAAGTTAGCTAGTTGATTGTATTTAATGTGATCTTGATGAACCATACAGACTGAGGCTTCATAGATAGGGACTGTGAGTCTTCTAGTCGAGGCAAACAAAGAACTAGTAATGTTTAATGCAAAATAAAGCATTGGAATGTAAGTTAGCCAACCTTTAAAAATGTTAAGGAAAATGCAATATGCTGTAAATCCTTCTTGTTCCCAAAACTGATATACTGATTTTTTAGATCATGAAAAGAATAATATCAAAAGCACTAAGCCAGAAAGCTATGAAATAGTGTTAAGACTATTAAAATATGGTCAAAATTTTATGTACGTAGTGAAACTTCAACAGAATTGACAATTGAAATTGGGTGGACGTGTTGAGAATTACAGTACAATACAATTTGGATTTCTGTACTATCCAGTTAATATAATTAGTTCTGCTATTTACTGAATTGCCAAATATTTGGGTATTTTTCTTATTGAATATGCCCGAGTATACAATTAATGTAAATAATAAATTTCATTTTGAATGTAATAGAACTGAAATACAAATTCGTATATTTTTCTAAAATTTCTAACAATTAATTTATTTTTAATTAATAATTCCAATTTGAGAATATTTGGACAATAAGTGTCCAACTGAAAAATTATTTTCAGTCTATTCGATTTCATTCTATTAAAGTTCTAGTGGACAAATCTTCCCATTACCAAGATGAGGAAACCCACTTTTATTTGGTGTTTTCTAAATTATCAGTTTAGTTCTATATACACTGTAGAGTAATGCTCAGTTAATATGCAGTTACCGGTGTGGTGTCTATCCGGGTGATCATCGACCTCCTGAAGCTTACGTTCACAACACTAATGATCCTGGCCATCTTCAAGGTGAATATTCTCACTTGATGTACAGTATACAGCATTCTTAATATTGATATTTATTACAGCATCTTCGAAGCTATTCATATTCTGTACAGTGGCATCTCGACAGAATGAACTTTTTTTCTTTTTTTTCAGGGAAATTCCTGTGCGAGCCCTAAGCCTCTGGCTGGCCCATTAAGTGTTGCTTCTTTCTGTTTTACTTAGGCGGAGTGTGATTATTTATGACTCGTATGGTCGCTTCAGTAAGATTTTGCAATATGTGTTTAACAACTTCTTCTGCTCTGTTGAAACTAAGTTGAAATCTTATTGGGTTTATAACTGTACACTGTGTTAGATGATGTTCCAGTGGTCTGTCGGGCATTTCTCCACAGTGCTGACATTTCCTCTCATCTTCCGGAAACTGTTGACACTGCAGCACCAGTGTCCAGTTCTAAGGGAACTAACCTCCCATTAATTACAAAATTTACCACTTGTGACTTCACCGAACATACCTTTTCTTTCACCGAATATAGTATGCTTTCCTCACCTACAGCTTCTTCAGACGGTTTACCTTCCTCTACTGCCTTAACCACAGTACCACTACCTCTTCTTCCTGCATTCCCTGGTCGTCTCCTCTCCCAGGCCTTGCTATCCCTGTTCAGGTATTCTCTACACACTTTCTTCAAGTGCCCCTCCTTGTCACAAAAGTTGCATATATAGTCACGAAACTTGCACTTGCTACTACTGTGATTGTACCTACAATGTTTACATCTGGGCTGGCCCTGTACGACCATAATTTCTTGAGTAGATTTCTTACTTCCAAAAACCCTTTCCAGGTTCAAAATCTTCTCTAGCACTGTCCATGAAGTCATCGATTGTAGATCCACGTTTTCTGCCACTAGGTTAGGGAAAAATATCTTATTTTCTACTGCCATGAACAACTGGTCCCTTACCCTGCCGTCAAACTGAGCTCCGAAGTTGCAGTGGTTAGCCAACGCCTTCAATTCCTCTTGCCTATTTATTGTCTGTCTCTACTTCCTCATCACAATCGACTTGAGAATGGTCCAGGACGGACCGAAACGTCGTCGTCCCTTCACCTTCTAGTGTGTTGTCTGGTCAACATACTTTATCCACGTTATTGTGACTCATCGCCTGCATCAGATATTATATTCCAAACACTGCTCTCTTCTCACTATACTATGCTAATCTATCCCTATCTTTCATATGGTATTTGTGGATGAGGCTCAACCTCTGCAAACTACCTGAAGCCCATCATCACCCAGCAAAAATCTGCTATCAGAACAATAACAAACTCTGCTTTCTGACAACACTCAGCCCCCGCTTAAATCCCTAAACATGCTAAACATAAACTCACTCCACACATTCTCTTGTGCCAATTACATTTACAAAACCCTGTTCTTAAGTACAAACCCTGTTCTGAAACTCTTCCTGTACAGATGTAATAGAACACATAGATCACCATTCCAGAAATAAATACCTCTCTGATATTCCCAGAGTCAAGCATAATCTGTGTAAACACCCTATGCAAATAAAGGGACCTGGTCTATAGAACTTACTCCCTAACAAATTGAAAAGCTGTCAAACTTTTGCTTTGTTCTAAATTAAAAATTAAAATTACATAATTTCAGCGTCATAGTTCCCTACTTAGTGCTTGAAACTCGCCTTGTATCTTGTGCTACCCAATTCCCCAAAATATATACCTATGCTATACAACTTTACCATTGTAATCAATATTATTATATTATATCATGTTATACACATAGTCTACTACATTATATCTTGAAATAATCCTCAAATTATGCTAAATTGTATCTGTGGATAACCCTTAAATTTACTTTAATGTACTTACTATTTTTTCTTTTCTGACAAGTTTCTTTTACAATGTATTTTTTTATACTTTCTTACAATGTACCTGTAAACATTTTATTTTTTTTTAATTTTGCTAGAAATTACCTTCTTAAAATTATATGTTAGTTTAAGGATCTGCCTGTGCGTGCTAGTGGCTTTACAAGAATAGAAAACTTCAAGTCTCTGTGCTCTTATAAACCCAATGTACCTTCTTTGTATATATATATATATATATATATATATATATATATATATATATATATATATATATATATATATATATATATATATATATATATATATATATATATATATATATATATATATTATATATGACCGAAAAAGTAAGATTAATAATTCTAACACGAATTTTCTCAATCTTTCGTACATTTCTTTTCACTGTTGGTGGTAATTCAAAAATCAATTCTCCAAAATTCATTTTTATTTCTAGTCTTACGCGACACTTGAGCGCGTTTCGTAAAACTTATTACATTTTCAAAGACTTTAGTTTACACATACACAACTGAATAGAACTTACTCATCTCCGATTTGTTTATATCTACATTTGAGTGAGGTGGATAGGGTGAGGTGGTATTAATAGGGTATTAAATTCATCAACACAAGACAGAACACGAAACAATGGGTATTGAATAGAAGTGATTGTAGAAAGCCTATTGGTCCATATTTCTTGATGCTTCTATATTGGAGCGGAGTCTTGAGGTGGGTAGAACATAGTTGTGCATTAATTGGCTGTTGATTGCTGGTGTTGACTTCTTAATGTGTAGTGCCTCACAAACGTCAAGTCGCCTGCTATCGCTGTATCTATCGATGATTTCTGTGTTGTTTACTAGGATTTCTCTGGCGATGGTTTGGTTGTGGGAAGAGATTATATGTTCCTTAATGGAGCCCTGTTGCTTATGCATCGTTAAACGCCAAGAAAGAGATGTTGTTGTCTTGCCTATATACTGTTTTTTTTGGAGCTTACAGTCCCCAAGAGGGCATTTGAAGGCATAGACGACGTTGGTCTCTTTTAAAGCGTTCTGCTTTGTGTCTGGAGAGTTTCTCATGAGTAGGCTAGCCGTTTTTCTGGTTTTATAGTAAATCGTCAGTTGTATCCTCTGATTTTTGTCTGTAGGGATAACGTTTCTATTAACAATATCTTTCAGAACCCTTTCCTCCTTTTTATGAGCTGTGGAAAAGAAGTTCCTGTAAAATAGTCTAATAGGGGGTATAGGTGTTGTGTTAGTTGTCTCTTCAGAGGTTGCATGGCGTTTCACTTTCCTTCTTATGATGTCTTCGACGAAACCATTGGAGAAGCCGTTGTTGACTAGGACCTGCCTTACCCTACAGAGTTCTTCGTCGACTTGCTTCCATTCTGAGCTGTGGCTGAGAGCACGGTCGACATATGCGTTAACAACACTCCTCTTGTACCTGTCTGGGCAGTCGCTGTTGGCATTTAGGCACATTCCTATGTTCGTTTCCTTAGTGTAGACTGCAGTGTGGAAACCTCCGCTCTTTTCCATAACTGTTACATCTAGAAAGGGCAGCTTCCCATCCTTTTCCATCTCGTAAGTGAAACGCAGCACGGAACTCTGCTCAAATGCCTCCTTCAGCTCCTGCAGATGTCTGACATCAGGTACCTGTGTAAAAATGTCGTCAACATACCTGCAGTATATGGCCGGTTTCAAGTTCATGCCGACTAAGACTTTTTGCTCGATGGTACCCATGTAGAAGTTTGCAAACAGGACACCTAGGGGAGAACCCATGGCGACCCCATCTACTTGCTTATACATGTGCCCATCCGGGCTCAAGAAGGGTGCCTCTTTAGTACAAGCTTGGAGTAGTTTCCTTAGAATATTTTCTGGTATGTCAAGAGGAGTACAGGCTGGATCACGATGCACTCTGTCGGCTATCATCCCGATTGTCTCGTCCACAGGTACGTTGGTGAACAGTGATTCTACGTCCAACGAGGCTCTTATTCCTGTGGCCCGTGTGCCCCGCAGTAAGTCAACAAATTCCTTTGGAGACTTCAGGCTGAAGGCGCAAGGGACAAAAGGAGTCAGCAGGCCGTTGAGTCGCTTCGCCAGTCTGTACGTGGGTGTGGGTATCTGGCTAATGATTGGCCGAAGTGGGTTTCCAGGCTTGTGTGTCTTGACATTTCCATACGCATATCCAGGTTTATATTCCCCAATAATCTTTGGAAGGTGGAGTCCTGATTTCTTGGCATTCACAGTTTCGATCAGTTTGTTGACCTTTGCTTTTAATTCGGCTGTAGTGTCCTTCGTTACCCTTTGGAATTTAGTTTGGTCAGAGAGTATGAGGTTCATTTTCGCCAGATATTCGTCTTTTTTAAGAATGACATATATTGGCGACTTGTCACCTCTCCTGACAACTATCTCCTTGTTCTCACGAAGGCTTTTAGCTGCCGCTTTAAGCTCGGGGGACAGTATGGTGCTTCTGTAATTGCCTCGATTCTTTCCTCCTTCCGCAATAAGTTCTGCTTGTAAGGTATCTTTGGTAGTGACCTTCATCTTTTTTGTGTCTCAAGGTCGAATATGTCGTCCAACAGAATTTCCAACTCCACTTTCCGGGCCATCTCACTCGGTCTGGACATAACGTGACAGTTTATGCCCAGATTTAGGAGAGTGATTTGGTCCTCAGTGAGGTTAATTCCTGCAAGGTTCAGGAAGCCATCTCTTGGTCGTGGAATTGCCATAGGTCCTCCATATAATGTTGTTAGTTTCTTGATAATCCTTGTTTCAGTGCTGAGTGATGGCGTTTCACTTTCCTTCTTATGATATCTTCGACGAAACCATTGGAGAAGCCGTTGTTGACTAGGACCTGCCTTACCCTACAGAGTTCTTCGTCGACTTGCTTCCATTCTGAGCTGTGGCTGAGAGCACGGTCGACATATGCGTTAACAACACTCCTCTTGTACCTGTCTGGGCAGTCGCTGTTGGCATTTAGGCACATTCCTATGTTCGTTTCCTTAGTGTAGACTGCAGTGTGGAAACCTCCGCTCTTTTCCATGACTGTTACATCTAGAAAGGGCAGCTTCCCATCCTTTTCCATCTCGTAAGTGAAACGCAGCACGGAACTCTGCTCAAATGCCTCCTTCAGCTCCTGCAGATGTCTGACATCAGGTACCTGTGTAAAAA